TAGTAGTAGTAGTAGTAGTACTAGTAGTAGTAGTAGTAGTAGTAGTATTACTACTACCATTGAATGAAGCTCTCTTAATTTGACTGAAAATGTCCATGTTTTGGTAATTCAAAATCTCATAACTGGTACTACTATCACTAATTCCTACTTGTTGCTAGTAGTACTACTGGTGGTAGTAGCTAGCTTTGTCCTCTGACAAAGATTACAGTAATAATTTGTTTAGATAATGGAGATGAGGATGCTTTGCTGGTGGGTTGTTTATAAAGAACAAGAAAGCAGCAACCCTGATATACAATACTAGATACTAATTATCAGCAGTGAAACATCATTTTAATGAAGATCATTGTCCTTACCCGTATCATCACCACCAAGTTTTCTTGGAACAAGACAGTTATGGTACTACTAGCTAGAGTCTAGTATGCAGTTGCTTTTTTAAGTTCTGAAGATCAGAATTTTGTGCTTTTGATGCTCACTGCTGCAACTATCAGACTGCCTTCCAATACCAAAAATATCATGCCAGTACTGTCCTCGCAATTAGAAGTAGTAGTATCACCAGTATGATGATGTCACCATACAAGAGTATATTGGTGGTGGTAGTTGTAACAAAACACGTTACAAACTGAACTAACTGCCAGCAACAAGGCAATACCAAGATACTTTACTGGTACTATTACAAGCCGTTGGGTTCAACAAGTTAATAAAATCATTGAAACCAAAAGTGTTGTTAACATTGTGGGAGTAAATATGTTCAGTCAGCTTTATATAGCAGAACAATTGACAACACATCCCCATTACCAAAAAACTGTGTTGGAGTTGGCAATAACAAACTTCTTAGAGAAAGAGGTCAATGGGAAGAACATTTTACGATAATCAAACTGATCATTGGAACAACTCCCTGTTCCTCTTAATCAAACTCCAGCTATGTTTCATCTGAGACTCAAAGAGATGATTGAAACTGTGAAGTTTGAAGCAACCAGCAGATTGTAAAGGTCGATCATCAATGCAAAACAAACATGGGAAAAATGTGTCATGTGGATTTACAGCACAAAGCTATAGTCCTAGTAAAAATGGTTTTCAGGTTCCTTTATTCATTCACAATATATTTAAGTGGGAGAAGCAGATTTTGGAATGGGATAATACCCAGTTCATTTCAGATACAAACCTATAGAACTTTAGAAAAAATGCTTCAAAAATTCCTTTCATATTTGGTACATGAAGGTACAAAAATTAGTTGTCAGAGCCATCTACTAATGAAGCATTGCAACAAAGGTAACTCTCATCCAGCTACTGTTTTGATGATTTTGATTTGGATTTGGAAATTCAGCTGGCATTGAGTTTACCTGCTGCAACCACGCACAACAAAAATGGAATCCTTCATTTGGTTGAAAATCAAGCTGAAATAAAATGATTTGGATATAGTGGGCCTGGTATTGCTCTGCTATAAATTGTTTCCCAACACAAGAATCTTTTTGTCCATGGGGGTTGTGGATACATATGAACCTCCATCTGAGCAACTGAGAAACTTGGGTACTCTGCAGCTGGAATCAATCATCAACTATTCCAAAAGATGAAGGGTTGCAAGGCATTGTTCATAAGCCAAATCAACTGCAATTCCAAAGCTGGTATTTACTGGTTCTCACCAATAAACTTGAGTTTGTACTAGTCCAACAAAGTTGAAATTCCCAATGTCAATGATGTATCTCAACTATGGGGATTCCAAACTGTCTTCTGTCTCACTATTTGGAATTTATACCCAACAGCACTAAAACTGGACAAGATCCATTCTGTTTTCAAGAGTATCACCAATGCATTTTTGCATGTAAAGCTAAATGGACATGATTCTGTTGGTACTACAAAGCACAAGCTTTCATTTTTTTCATTTCTACTAGGCTTCTTGTTGTTACCTGCTTGGGTTGGCACACATGCAAAGAAGTCTATCTCTGAGATGTCTTCCATGATGAGGTGACAATGGTGGTTTCTATTTTTGTATGCAAAAATCTACAACAAACAATTTTGGAAATCAAGGTTAGAATTGATATGTATCTACAAAAAATATAGAATGAAAAGATATGGGAACGCCTAACCACCAGCCTGAAGATGCATTTTGAAATTTGAATCAAACCATGAAACAAAAATTGGAGCCATTTTGGGATTTTGTTGATGTCTTATGCAATCATTTCTTCCTTTGGTAAAATTCTTTAAACTCTTTTGTATTCACTTGCTGCTACATTTGGTGTTCTTGTAAGTGGAATTGGATTTTGAAGCTAGTGGCACATGATAGTCAACTGCACTTTTGAGGTGGGAAAAGAGACTGGTGTCTAGCAGGCATGCCTTGGGGTGATTGCCTGTAGGCCCATCCTTGAACTTGTTGAGAGTACTTCCAAACCACCACTCTCACCCATCACATCAAGTTCTGGTAGAATCCACCTTGAATGATATCCATTTTCCTTCATACAATCCAATGAGTCACCAAGGGGTCATCAAAACCAATATTGTGGTATACAAAACTATCAGCAGGACCTAACTTTGAAGAATCTTCTTTGAACATGTAGCCAATCAAATCAGTAACACAGACTTTGCCAATCATAATGGTCTTGTCAATTTCTTCTTTCCAATCATTTCCAAAGGGAATCTCACATGGATTCTTGGTATCTCTATGATCAATTACTTTTGATGGATTGCCATGAAATGCCAAAACTGCTTATCTGCTGAAAAATTCCATCTGTTTTTGGGAGAGGAAAGGAATTTCATTTGCAATCTTCTTCTCTGTCTCTGCTGGTGCAGTGGCAAGTACCTTCAAATGCTTCACCAAAGAATTTGAAAAGTCTTTTGCTGGTAAGGGTTTGTTCTCATAAGTAACACCTAAGATTATTTTCAAATTGATTTTTTTCAAATGCACAAAATAACACTTCGCTTCTGAAAATTATCATCTAGATTTCCTACTGATTCCTACATAGTTCCTACCTGACCAGCACCTTCTGGCATCCAAACACCATGGTGACATTCCCTTCCAAAGGGGAAAACCCACCTCCCTGGCTCTATTCAAGCACTAACCAAGCAATCTAACCAAGACTATTCCAAGTATATCAATATTCCCCAGCAGCTACTAGTGGTAGCAGTTTGCCCCAACTGGTGGATCCATCCCCATCCCCAGTTCTCAAGGACTGGAAGCCCCAGTGCTTTCCGGTCATGATTTTTGTTGTTTCTGTCATTTGTGTTGGACAGCAACAACAACACCCCCAGCCCCCAATATTAACCCTGTATCTAGATCTTCTTCAAGAAGATGCTCCACAAACAGCTGTTCCTTTGGGTGAGCTCAGCTGTGGTTTGAAAGAAGTCTGTCGGTTTTCTTTTTTCTTTTGGCTTTTCTTTTGTTTCTTTTTTATTTTTATTTTTATTTTTGACTACTCAACCACATGTGTCTTTGTACACTGCAAGTCAGCATGCCTTAACTGGCATGGCAGTGTGCTTGACACTCACTTCCTTGAACACTGTAATGGGACTTGCCTTCTGACTTGGCATTGCACTTTGGAATGATAATGGCATAGTTCTTATCCATCCAAACTGTGAACCAACCCCATTTATGTCCTCTGAATCCAGCAACCTGCCTTAATTGGCTTGTTGGTGTACATAGAACCTGGTCACGCCTGCACAAAAACTGCTTCTTGGAGGGAGGTGCTGCCCCTTGGTGCAGCTAGGAGCATTCTTCTCCCTGGTCTGGAGAGGCTCTGGTTCTGGTCATATAGTGCCTCTTCTAGTTCATGAGGTTAAATATGATATTAAGATTTAATCCTAGGATTGGCTGCCATCCAAACTGTGCTTCAAGTATCTAAAAGAGACATGACAGTAAATCACCTGCCTCAAAACAGTCTTGATGGTAGTACCAAAGTTATACTTTTCTTCTTTCCCACTCTCACCTAGCATCCTTCTCAATTTCTTCACATTGTTTTTTTTAAATCAATCTCTGGCGGGCTACCGAGTACTTGTTTTTCAAAAAACACAGCAATACAAATTCAAATATTATTTTGCAAAATTCC